GAGAGAGAGACAGAGAGACAGAGAGAGAGACAGAGAGACAGAGAGAGAGAGACAGAGAGACAGAGACAGAGAGACAGAGAGAGAGAGAGAGAGAGAGATGAGAGAGTTAATACAAATATATTCTAAAAATGCATTAATAGAATATATTTTCAGAATAAAAGTATATGATCCAGTGTCTCACCTGAGCCTGGCTCCTCTTCCTCAGCAGCCACTTGTCCTCCTCTTCCTCCTGGGGGGGGGGGGAGCGGCTCTGAACCCACTGCTGAGGGTCCAGAGGGAGGAGGAAGGGGGAGGAAGAGGAGGGCGGGGAGGAGGAGGAGGAGGGGGGGTGCAGCCAGGCCTGAAGGATGGCCTGCACCTGAGGAGAGACGCAGGTACACACTCTGTTATTTAGACATAATATAACAGACTCTTATTTTGAAATAATATAACACTCTTATTTTGAAATAATATATAACACTCTTATTTTGAAATAATATAACAGACTCTCTTATTTTGAAATAATATTACTGACTCTTATTTTGAAATAATATAACAGACTCTCTTATTTTGAAATAATATAACAGACTCTCTTATTTTGAAATAATATAACAGACTCTTATTTTGAAATAATATAACAGACTCTTATTTTGAAATAATATAACAGACTCTCTTATTTTGAAATAATATAACAGACTCTTATTTTGAAATAATATAACAGACTCTTATTTTGAAATAATATAACAGACTCTTATTTTGAAATAATATAACAGACTCTCTTATTTTGAAATAATATAACAGACTCTTATTTTGAAATAATATAACAGACTCTTATTTTGAAAAATAAACAGTTAAAAAAATATATAAGATACTTTTGTTGATAAAAAGTAAAAAATAAAAGTATAAAATGTAATTAAATTTATTAATAGTTCAGTTACGTGGCTGAACACAAAGATAAACCTTCAGTTCACCTTCTGCTCCTGCTGCTGGTGGTGCAGGGGGGGCGGGGCCTTCTTCTGAGTGGGCGGAGCCTCCTTCTCAGTGGGCGGAGCCTCCTTCTCAGTGGGCGGAGCCTCCTTCTCAATGGGCAGAGCCTCCTTTTCACTGGGTGTTGTCTCTTTCTCACTGGGTGAGGCCTCCTGGTTAGTGGGCGTGGTCTCCTGGTTAGTGGGCGGGGCCTTCTTGCCGTTCTTGTCCCGCCCCTCCTTCCTCAGCAGCCATTGGCTGAGAGCCGCTCCCCCACAGTTCTCCTCACAGACGCAGGAGGAGAAGGAGGCGCAGACTTCATTAGCTCTGCAGGAGGACTGGGAGGGGGGAGGGGCCTGCTGAAGCCACGCCTCCAGGGAGGGGGGAGGGGCCACATTGGGGGGAGGGGCCACACTAGGGGGAGGAGCCACATTAGGGGGGGTCTTCAGGCACCGGAGCCTCCCCAGGTTCTCGATCTCGAGGGGGGGGCTGGAGGTCTGGCAGCAGGAAGTGCAGTCAGAGGGGGCGGGGCTAGACTCCAGCAGCCAATCAGAGGCCACCCAGCCATCCTGGAACGGCTTCAACACGGAGAGCCATCGCTCACCCTCGGACGGGTTCTTCAGGGGGGGGGGCAGGGGGGGTAATGAGCCAGCTGCTAAGCTCCTCCTCCTCCTCCTCCCTGCTGAGCTCTGATTGGTCCACGTCCTCGATGCAGAAGGAGGAGCAGCTGCTGTCAGAGCGCTGCCTCTGCAGAAGCCACGCCTCCAAACCAAGCAGGAAGTCAGGGGGGGCGGGACAGGAAGTCTGACACACACAGGAAGTGGTTATTACACACAGGAAGTGGTTATTACACACAGGAAATGGTTATTACACACAGGAAGTGGTTATTACACACAGGAAGTGGTTATTACATGGGTTTAATCAGGAGTGTCACTACCCGATCCGCCCTGCGCATGTGCGAGATGGTCCGCCATATTGGACAACTCCATACGGCACCTCTAATAGGACACTTGACGTCTAGACGGCTGCCCGATTTGCATCGTGCATGGGCGAGTCATAAACGTCTCAAATATCTTGACAAAAACTTTTGTTATTTTATTTTATTTGAAATAAAATGAAGGACATTCACAGTTAAAAGGACCCACTAAAAGGACCCACTAAAAGGACCCGCTAAAAGGACCCACTAAAAGGACCCACTACAAGGACCCACTAAAAGGACCCACTAAAAGGACCCGCTAAAAGGACCCACTAAAAGGACCCACTACAAGGACCCACTAAAAGGACCCACTACAAGGACCCACTAAAAGGACCCACTAAAAGACCCACTAAAAGGACCCACTAAAAAGACCCACTAAAAGGACCCACTACAAGGACCCACTAAAAGACCCACTAAAAGGACCCACTAAAAGGACCCACTAAAGGAACCCACTAAAAGGACCCACTAAAAGGACCCACTAAAAGGACCCACTAAAAGGACCCACTACAAAGAGTTGTTAAATAATAGTGAAGTCACGTTGTAACAATAACTCATCTCTCTCGGTTCTTTGAGTTGTCTTTGTGTGCTTTGCCAAAAGCCACCGTGTCAAGTGTCCTAGTTGGGTTGCCGTACGGAGTTGTCCAATATGGCGGACCATCTCGCACATGCGCAGTGCGGATCGGGTAGTGACAAGGAGGGTAAATATAAACAACTCTTTCACTGAGTCTCACCTGGGTCTCAGACATCAGCCAATCCTGAGGCAGACAGCCAATGGGAGCGCTGCTTTCTCTCTCCACCTTCTGAAACACACACACACACACACACACCTGTCAGCACCTGTCTCTATCCTCATCACTGTGAGGGTATTTGTATTGGTTAATAACCCCACCTGCTTCTTGGCAGTGATTGGACAGCTCTGAGAGGCCACGCCCTCCCCCACCTGAGGACAGGAATAACAGGAAACAGCTGATATGAGAACATGGTGACATCACTATGGAACACACGTGCTCTTATTGGCTTTGTACGTGATAGGCTAAGGGGCGGGACATCTCTAAGTGGTTGACCAATGACAACAGAGTCGGCCAGCTAACCAATCAGAGCAGACTGGGCTCTGGTTTCAGACAGAGGGTGTGTGTGTGTGTGTGTGTGTTACCTGAGCAAACACACAGCCGAAGGAGGTGATGGCGCTCCTCAGAGAGTGTGTGTCAGCGGTGAAGCAGAGACTCTCCTCTGGTGTCAGACTGAGAGAGGACAAGCTGCAGGGGGGAAACACACCTGTCATCAGTGTGTGTGCGTGTGTGTGTGTGTGTGTGTGAGGTCACCTGAGGACTGTTTGTCTCAGGTAGAGTCACATGATGATGTCAACAATGATTCACTTTTATAAAGAAGCTGCGGTTCATTACTGATGTTAAATGTAACCCTGACGCTCTGCAGTGTGTGTGTGTGTGTGTGTGCGTGTGAGCGTGTGTGTGCGAGCGTGTGTGAGTGTGTGTGTGTGTGTGTGTGTGTGTGTGTACCTCTCCATGCAGAGGCTGAGCTGCTGCTTCAGATCTTTGCTGCAGGTGGAGTTCTGCATCTGATGCTGGAGGACATCAAACTGACCCTGGAGCTGGGGGGGGGGGGGGGGGGGGGCAGGGTGTTAACAGCATATTACCAACAGAAAGGTGTGTCTACGGGTGTGTGTACGGTATAAGTATGTACAAGTGTATATACAGGTGTGTGTACAGGCGTGTGTGTATATACAGGTGTGTGTACGGTATAAGTATGTACAGGTGTATATACAGGTGTGTGTTATTTACCCGGTGCAGGTGCAGCAGGTGAGTCTGCAGGCTCTCGTTCTGAAGGGTCTCCAGCAGGTGCACCTGTCCCAGCAGCCAGACCTCCCTGCAGCGCAGAGCCTCCTGCTGCCGAGAGACAGAGCTCTGCACCTGGCCGCGCACCTGAGGGGAGGAGACACACCGTTACACACTCTTCACTACACATCACTACAGAGCTCTGCACCTGAGGGGAGGAGACACACCGTTACACACTCTTCACTACACATCACTACAGAGCTCTGCACCTGAGGGGAGGAGACACACCGTTACACACTCTTCACTACACATCACTACAGAGCTCTGCACCTGAGGGGAGGAGACACACCGTTACACACTCTTCACTACACATCACTACAGAGCTCTGCACCTGAGGGGAGGAGACACACCGTTACACACTCTTCACTACACATCACTATAACCAACTCTACAGGAGGACCCTGAACACATCACTACGCATCATTACTATTTACCTTTCTCAACACACGAGCCTGAACGCACCACTATAATACTCTATGGAACCTCTGTTAGCAGCTAACAAGCTAATAACAGCTAGCAGCTAATAACAGCTAACAAGCTAATAACAGCTAACAGCTAATAACAGCTAACAGCTAATAACAGCTAACAAGCTAATAACAGCTAACAGCTAATAACAGCTAACAAGCTAATAACAGCTAGCAGCTAATAACAGCTAACGTTAGCTCTCCTGCAGATGATAACACACTGTGCAGCTCCCTGCTGAACACACACCTGTCAGACTGCTGCCTCTTATATACACCACCTCAAACACACAGGTAACCTCACCTATGTGTCACAGAGCCTGTGACACACACACACACACACAGGCAGTTTCTGTGTATCTGGGTGTGTGTCTCACCTGTAGGCGTGTGTGTTGTTGAGAAGGGTGACAAATGGAACAATGTAATTTTTATATCGCTCATAAAATATACTCGAAAGCTTTACAAAGTGTAAAGATGTCATAGTCAAATATATGTATGCAATAGCAACAGGGTGTATAACATATACATCCTTATATGGGTCCATTTAAAAAGGCCTCTGTAGCAAAGTGTGCACTTCCTCTTTCAGAGTGAACTTTCTGACGCCTCTGACGTACGAGCTTGCAGCACAAGACGTGACAAACCACGTGACAAAAGAAGACTGAAGAACATTGGGAAGCAGTTCCTCTTGGAACGGACTTCTTCTTGCAAAAGGACTGAGCAACCCGGCGTTACGCCAATTAGGTTCAACGTAGAGACGCATCAGAGCGACACGCAGGTTCGCTGTAGAGACGCATCAGAGCGACACGTAGGTTCGATGTAGAGACGCATCAGAGCGACACGTAGGTTCGATGTAGACGCATCAGAGCGACACGTAGGTTCGCCGTAGAGACGCATCAGAGCGACGCGTAGGTTCGCCGTAGAGACGCATCAGAGCGACACGTAGGTTCGCCGTAGAGACGCATCAGAGCGACGCGTAGGTTCGCCGTAGAGACGCATCAGAGCGACGCGTAGGTTCGCCGTAGAGTCGCATCAGAGCGACGCGTAGGTTCGCCGTAGAGTCGCATCAGAGCGACGCGTAGGTTCGACGTAGAGACGCATCAGAGCGACACGTAGGTTCGCCGTAGAGACGCATCAGAGCGACACGTAGGTTCGCCGTAGAGACGCATCAGAGCGACACGTAGGTTCGCCGTAGAGACGCATCAGAGCGACACGTAGGTTCGCCGTAGAGACGCATCAGAGCGACGCGTAGGTTCGATGTAGAGACGCATCAGAGCGACGCGGAGGTTCGCCGTAGAGACGCATCAGAGCGACGCGTAGGTTCGCCGTAGAGACGCATCAGAGCGACACGTAGGTTCGATGTAGAGACGCATCAGAGCGACGCGTAGGTTCGCCGTAGAGACGCATCAGAGCGACGCGTAGGTTCGCCGTAGAGACGCATCAGAGCGACACGTAGGTTCGCCGTAGAGACGCATCAGAGCGACGCGTAGGTTCGATGTAGAGACGCATCAGAGCGACGCGGAGGTTCGCCGTAGAGACGCATCAGAGCGACGCGTAGGTTCGCCGTAGAGACGCATCAGAGCGACACGTAGGTTCGATGTAGAGACGCATCAGAGCGACGCGTAGGTTCGCCGTAGAGACGCATCAGAGCGACGCGTAGGTTCGCCGTAGAGACGCATCAGAGCGACGCGTAGGTTCGCCGTAGAGACGCATCAGAGCGACGCGTAGGTTCGCCGTAGAGACGCATCAGAGCGACGCGTAGGTTCGCCGTAGAGACGCATCAGAGCGACGCGTAGGTTCGCCGTAGAGACGCATCAGAGCGACGCGTAGGTTCGATGTAGAGACGCATCAGAGCGACGCGTAGGTTCGATGTAGAGACGCATCAGAGCGACGCGTAGGTTCGATGTAGAGACGCATCAGAGCGACGCGTAGGTTCGATGTAGAGACGCATCAGAGCGACGCGTAGGTTCGCTGTAGAGACGCATCAGAGCGACGCGTAGGTTCGATGTAGAGACGCATTCAGAGGCTTAGAGACGCATCAGAGCGACGCGTAGGTTCGCTGTAGAGACGCATCAGAGCGACGCGTAGGTTCGATGTAGAGACGCATCAGAGCGACACGTAGGTTCGCTGTAGAGACGCATCAGAGCGACACGTAGGTTCGACGTAGAGACGCATCAGAGCGACACGCAGGTTTGCTGTAGAGACGCATCAGAGCAACACGTAGGTTCGCCGTAGAGACGCATCAGAGCGACACGCAGGTTCGCCGTAGAGACGCATCAGAGCGACACGCAGGTTCGCCGTAGAGACGCATCAGAGCGACACGCAGGTTCGCCGTAGAGACGCATCAGAGCGACGCGTAGGTTCGCTGTAGAGACGCATCAGAGCGACGCGTAGGTTCGCTGTAGAGACGCATCAGAGCGACGCGTAGGTTCGATGTAGAGACGCATCAGAGCGACACGTAGGTTCGCTGTAGAGACGCATCAGAGCGACACGTAGGTTCGCCGTAGAGACGCATCAGAGCGACACGCAGGTTCGCCGTAGAGACGCATCAGAGCGACACGCAGGTTCGCCGTAGAGACGCATCAGAGCGACACGCAGGTTCGCTGTAGAGACGCATCAGAGCGACGCGCAGGTTCTCTGTAGAGACGCATCAGAGCGACGCGCAGGTTCGCCGTAGAGACGCATCAGAGCGACGCGCAGGTTCGCCGTAGAGACGCATCAGAGCGACGCACAGGTTTGCTGTGGGCTGCTCGCTCTGTGTGTGTGTCTCACCTGTTGGCTGCGCTCTCTCTCTGTGTGTGTGTGTGTGTCTCACCTGTTGGCTGCGCTGTGTGTGTGTGTCTCACCTGTTGGCTGCGCTGTGTGTGTGTCTCACCTGTTGGCTGCGCTGTGTGTGTGTCTCACCTGTTGGCTGCGCTGTGTGTGTGTCTCACCTGTTGGCTGCGCTGTGTGTGTGTGTGTGTCTCACCTGTTGGCTGCGCTGTGTGTGTGTGTCTCACCTGCGCTGTGTGTGTGTGTGTCTCACCTGTTGGCTGCGCTCTCTCTCTGTGTGTGTGTGTCTCACCTGTTGGCTGCGCTGTGTGTGTGTGTGTGTGTGTGTGTGTGTGTGTGTCTCACCTGTTGGCTGCTCTCTCTCAGCTGCTGCTCAGCTCTCCTCACCCCCCCGATGGCTTCCTGCAGCTGATCCTGCGCCTGCTGCAGCCCTGCCATCCTGAGAGCAAGAAATACACCTGTAATACACCTGTAATATAGACCTGTAATATAGACCTGTAATATAGACCTGTAATATAGACCTGTAATACACCTGTGATATACCTGTGATATACCTGTAATACACCTGTAATATAGACCTGTAATACACCTGTAATACACCTGTAATACACCTGTAATACACCTGTGATAAACCTGTAATATAGACCTGTAATACACCTGTGATAAACCTGTAATATAGACCTGTAATACACCTGTGATAAACCTGTAATATAGACCTGTAATACACCTGTGATAAACCTGTAATATAGACCTGTAATACACCTGTGATAAACCTGTAATATAGACCTGTGATAAACCTGTAATACACCTGTGATAAACCTGTAATATAGACCTGTAATACACCTGTAATATAGACCTATAATACACCGGTGATAAACCTGTAATATAGACCTGTAATACACCTGTAATAAACCTGTAATATAGACCTGTAATACACCTGTAATAAACCTGTAATAAACCTGTAATATAGACCTGTAATACACCTGTAATAAACCTGTAATATAGACCTGTAATACACCTGTGATAAACCTGTAATATAGACCTGTGATAAACCTGTAATAAACCTGTAATATAGACCTGTGATAAACCTGTAATATAGACCTGTAATACACCTGTGATAAACCTGTAATATAGACCTATAATACACCTGTGATAAACCTGTAATATAGACCTGTAATACACCTGTGATAAACCTGTAATATAGACCTGTAATACACCTGTGATAAACCTGTAATATAGACCTGTGATAAACCTGTATAGACTATAATAACACCTGTGATAAACCTGTAATATAGACCTGTAATACACCTGTGATAAACCTGTAATATAGACCTGTGATAAACCTGTAATATAGACCTATAATACACCTGTGATAAACCTGTAATATAGACCTGTGATAAACCTGTAATATAGACCTATAATACACCTGTGATAAACCTGTAATATAGACCTATAATACACCTGTGATAAACCTGTAATATAGACCTGTAATACACCTGTGATAAACCTGTAATATAGACCTGTAATACACCTGTGATAAACCTGTAATATAGACCTGTAATACACCTGTGATAAACCTGTAATATAGACCTGTAATACACCTGTGATAAACCTGTAATATAGACCTGTGATAAACCTGTAATATAGACCTATAATACACCTGTGATAAACCTGTAATATAGACCTATAATACACCTGTGATAAACCTGTAATATAGACCTGTGATAAACCTGTAATATAGACCTATAATACACCTGTGATAAACCTGTAATATAGACCTATAATACACCTGTGATAAACCTGTAATATAGACCTGTAATACACCTGTGATAAACCTGTAATATAGACCTGTAATACACCTGTGATAAACCTGTAATATAGACCTATAATACACCTGTGATAAACCTGTAATATAGACCTGTAATACACCTGTGATAAACCTGTAATATAGACCTGTAATAAACCTGTGATAAACCTGTAATATAGACCTGTGATAAACCTGTGATAAACCTGTAATATAGACCTGTAATACACCTGTGATAAACCTGTAATATAGACCTGTGATAAACCTGTAATATAGACCTATAATACACCTGTAATAAACCTGTAATACACCTGTGATAAACCTGTAATATAGACCTGTAATACACCTGTAATATAGACCTGTAATACACCTGTGATAAACCTGTAATATAGACCTGTAATACACCTGTGATAAACCTGTGATATAGACCTGTAATACACCTGTGATAAACCTGTAATATAGACCTGTAATACACCTGTGATAAACCTGTAATATAGACCTGTGATAAACCTGTAATATAGACCTATAATACACCTGTAATATAGACCTGTAATACACCTGTGATAAAACTGTAATATAGACCTGTAATACACCTGTGATAAACCTGTAATATAGACCTATAATACACCTGTAATATATACCTATAATACACCTGTAATATAGACCTATAATACACCTGTGATAAACCTGTAATATAGACCTGTGATAAACCTGTAATATAGACCTGTAATACACCTGTAATAAACCTGTAATATAGACCTGTAATACACCTGTGATAAACCTGTAATATAGACCTGTAATAAACCTGTAATATAGACCTATAATACACCTGTGATAAACCTGTAATATAGACCTGTAATACACCTGTAATAAACCTGTAATATAGACCTGTAATACACCTGTAATATAGACCTATAATAAACCTGTAATATAGACCTATAATACACCTGTGATAAACCTGTAATATAGACCTGTAATACACCTGTGATAAACCTGTAATATAGACCTGTAATACACCTGTAATATAGACCTATAATACACCTGTAATATAGACCTATAATACACCTGTAATATAGACCTGTAATACACCTGTGATAAACCTGTAATATAGACCTGTAATACACCTGTGATAAACCTGTAATATAGACCTGTGATAAACCTGTAATATAGACCTATAATACACCTGTAATATAGACCTGTAATACACCTGTGATAAACCTGTAATATAGACCTGTAATACACCTGTGATAAACCTGTAATATAGACCTATAATACACCTGTGATAAACCTGTAATATAGACCTGTGATAAACCTGTAATATAGACCTATAATACACCTGTAATATAGACCTGTAATACACCTGTAATAAACCTGTAATATAGACCTGTGATAAACCTGTAATATAGACCTATAATACACCTGTAATATAGACCTGTAATACACCTGTGATAAACCTGTAATATAGACCTGTAATACACCTGTGATAAACCTGTAATATAGACCTGTAATACACCTGTGATAAACCTGTAATATAGACCTGTAATACACCTGTGATAAACCTGTAATATAGACCTATAATACACCTGTGATAAACCTGTAATATAGACCTGTAATATAGACCTGTGATAAACCTGTAATATAGACCTGTAATACACCTGTAATATAGACCTGTAATAAACCTGTAATATAGACCTATAATACACCTGTGATAAACCTGTAATATAGACCTGTAATACACCTGTAATAAACCTGTAATATAGACCTGTAATACACCTGTGATAAACCTGTAATATAGACCTGTAATACACCTGTAATATAGACCTATAATACACCTGTGATAAACCTGTAATATAGACCTGTAATACACCTGTGATAAACCTGTAATATAGACCTGTAATATAGACCTGTGATAAACCTGTAATATAGACCTATAATACACCTGTGATAAACCTGTAATATAGACCTGTAATACACCTGTAATAAACCTGTAATATAGACCTGTGATAAACCTGTAATATAGACCTATAATACACCTGTAATATAGACCTGTAATACACCTGTGATAAACCTGTAATATAGACCTGTAATACACCTGTGATAAACCTGTAATATAGACCTGTAATATAGACCTGTGATAAACCTGTAATATAGACCTGTAATACACCTGTAATATAGACCTGTAATATAGACCTGTGATAAACCTGTAATATAGACCTGTAATACACCTGTGATAAACCTGTAATATAGACCTATAATACACCTGTGATAAACCTGTAATATAGACCTGTAATACACCTGTGATAAACCTGTAATATAGACCTGTGATAAACCTGTAATATAGACCTGTAATAAACCTGTAATATAGACCTGTAATACACCTGTGATAAACCTGTAATATAGACCTGTAATATAGACCTGTGATAAACCTGTAATATAGACCTATAATACACCTGTGATAAACCTGTAATATAGACCTGTAATACACCTGTAATAAACCTGTAATATAGACCTGTAATACACCTGTGATAAACCTGTAATATAGACCTGTAATACACCTGTAATAAACCTGTAATATAGACCTGTAATACACCTGTGATAAACCTGTAATATAGACCTGTAATACACCTGTAATAAACCTGTAATATAGACCTGTGATAAACCTGTAATATAGACCTATAATACACCTGTGATAAACCTGTAATATAGACCTGTAATACACCTGTGATAAACCTGTAATATAGACCTGTGATAAACCTGTAATATAGACCTATAATACACCTGTGATAAACCTGTAATATAGACCTGTAATACACCTGTGATAAACCTGTAATATAGACCTGTAATATAGACCTGTGATAAACCTGTAATATAGACCTATAATACACCTGTGATAAACCTGTAATATAGACCTGTAATACACCTGTAATAAACCTGTAATATAGACCTGTGATAAACCTGTAATATAGACCTATAATACACCTGTAATATAGACCTGTAATACACCTGTGATAAACCTGTAATATAGACCTGTAATACACCTGTAATATAGACCTGTAATATAGACCTGTGATAAACCTGTAATATAGACCTGTAATACACCTGTGATAAACCTGTAATATAGACCTGTAATATAGACCTGTGATAAACCTGTAATATAGACCTGTAATACACCTGTAATATAGACCTGTAATATAGACCTGTGATAAACCTGTAATATAGACCTGTAATACACCTGTGATAAACCTGTAATATAGACCTATAATACACCTGTGATAAACCTGTAATATAGACCTGTAATACACCTGTGATAAACCTGTAATATAGACCTGTGATAAACCTGTAATATAGACCTGTAATAAACCTGTAATATAGACCTGTAATACACCTGTGATAAACCTGTAATATAGACCTATAATACACCTGTGATAAACCTGTAATATATACCTGTAATACACCTGTGATAAACCTGTAATATATACCTGTAATACACCTGTGATAAACCTGTAATATAGACCTGTAATACACCTGTAATAAACCTGTAATATAGACCTGTAATACACCTGTGATAAACCTGTAATATAGACCTGTAATACACCTGTAATAAACCTGTAATATAGACCTGTGATAAACCTGTA